ACAGCCAATTAGAGTGTTACAGAAACTGTTATGACATTCATTTATTTTATGTGGGGCAAACTGATGTAGGCCAAAATATCTTTATTCCTTGCTTGTTTGGGCAGGACTACACCATGAGAACTCCTATAATAACTTTTTCAATGCAACACTAAATTCTTTAATGGCAGTTTAAATTGTTGGTTGTATGTGACCCTGATAAGGATAAGCGGAAGAGGATTGATGGGAACAATAACTGTAGAAACAGGGACAGTATAAAAGTTATAAGTGGTGAACCTTGATGAAAGGGTTAGTGATATCTCCTTATGAAGCCTTGGGCACAAATCACTTTTCAGAGTTATTTAAACTGGATGTGATGTGTGAAACCACACGCTTCCTCACTGCCTGACGACCTTTCAATCCAAAGTTCTTACAATGTGCTTACAATAACTTGTAAGTTATTCAGTGTTAAGCTTGCACCTGTGATTTCTTGCTACCAGAGCAGCTGTCTTGCCTAATCACTCACTTCCTTGTTCTGGTTTTTATAGGATCATTTCAGTCATATTCCAATCATGATGATTGTGTGCAGTGACAAGACATTTTATAAGGTGTATATAGCCAGCCCTTGGCTCTGCTGCTGCAAAATGGTAGTGTGCTTACAATTTCATTTTGAGCATGCTCAAAGTACAGCCTCACAAGTTCCCTGCCTCTGGTCTAATCTTGCCCGTAATATAACTGAATTGATCCCATAAAAACAAGTCCGAAAAAGGAAGTGAGAGCAATATTGCAGATCACATGATTAGGTAAGATAGCTACTCTGGGAGCAAGAAGTCATCCTGCCCCTTTACAGGAATCCGCTTGATAGATGTAACTTTAAAACTGAACAGCTCGAGTCGAGAGATGACAGCTTGAACAAAATGCACATAGTGAAAAAGATAAACCTGATAATACTTAATAATGCTGTTTTTATTGTTATTAAATTGTGCATATGGATCAATAACAGGGCTCAGCTGATCTGTCTGTGCAACAACTGAGCTCAGCATTTGGGTCACATGTTTCTTCATGTTACACCTAAACAGAAAAGAAGGTGGACCTACATTATTATTCTTTTCATAGATTTTTTCCTCCAACCATTTTGTTCTGATGAGGCTATTTAGCAAATGCTGTTGTGTGTGGGAGAAGGAAGACAGAGCCTGCATCACGTCCCCCTGAGAGTGCACTGAGCCAAAACGGTAGAGGAGAAAGCCAGCCGAGCTCAAGAACGAGGTAACCTACTCCACTTTCTCTCTTCTGCAGACCAAATCTCAACTCTTGAACGCTATAATGGCTGCAAAACTTACGTGTTTGAATACACACAAAAGCAGACGAACGATCATCCTTCATCTTTCACTGCAGGGTCTCTGCGTGTTGCCATGGCAACAAGTAATGCAGGAGCGAGGCTTTAGGAAGATGACTGTTGAAAGATGGAACACACATTGCTGAATAATCCCAGCAAACCTTGTAATAACCAAAACAGAACCGCCCTGTGTAACTACAAACACAGTTTCTGACACACTCACATGAGGACTGTGGAAATTAAAAGCCTGAGTGCTTATTAAATGGATTGGAGCGTCCACTGTGCTCAAGGTAATATGATAACCTCCCATGCCTTTTTCAGTCTGTGTGCATAAAGTCTTTAAGAGAAAGCACATGTCGGGTTTGAGCCAAATCCTCCTGCCAGAAAAAAGCTCACATGGCACTGGAGCGGAGGGACAGAGCAATGAACAGAAGTGAAGACAAAGCAGGAATGAGGTTTTCTTTCTCCTGGGCAATAAACGTGATAAAGAAACTCCTCAAAGTGAAATGGGACAGCGTTTTACCATCCTGAGAAAACTGTAAGAACAGTTGTTTTTTTATTTATTTTTATATATATATATATATATATATATATATTCTTTTTTTAGGATAAATTATGTAATGTGTCTATAGTCATACCAGTGGGAGAACTCTTGAGTAACATGCTAATACTAGAATGTACCACACTCACAATGACAGTGTTCTCATACACTATGTCTAGCAGCAGTGTCCCTTTATGCAAACTCATAAAAGGACGTTAAATCTTTTATGATTCTTGAAGTAAAAAACCATAACCATAATAAAATACACACTCACTCATGTTCATGTCTTAATGAGGACATCTAAGTGACATAATGCCTTCCCCAGCCTCTTACCCTAACCATCAAAAATGAATGCCTAACCCTAACCCTTAGCCTAAATCTAACTATAACCTAATTGTAACCCTGACACTAAAACCACAGTTTGAGCCTCAAACATGCCTTCAAACTCGTGGGGAGAGGTGACTGTTGGTCCCCACAAGTACAGTAGCATTGCAATTTTCTGTCCTCACAAGGATGTCTAAACATGTACACATATATCAGAGAACTGCAGCAGATGCTAGTGTTTTGAAGAAGCCCACAGTTGACACACTTCAGAATCATCTAAACTGCATGAAAACGTTTTCTTTTAATGTGCCTCTCTGACTGAGACAGGACAGACTTTGTTTAAGGGTAAGCTACTGTAAGATATGAAGCCGATTTCATTATTTATACCCATGATTCCTGTGTAACATATCGATGACTCTTTGCTGTTACTTCTGCACAGATCACATACTTGCAACAGCAGCAACTTCCCAGTTTTTAATTGCAACTCCAACTGTCTCAATGCTTTTTTAATGTGTCTACTGCTGCCATCTAGTGTACATCATTTAAAAATGCTTTAAACCTGATTTTCACTTTATCACCAAAGTATATGGGCACTTCTGTTATTCCTAGCTTAAACTATATCCTTAATTAATATTATTAATTAAGATAAATATTATTATAATTAATATTATTAATTAAGATAAATGATTATTATAACTGTGCTTTAAGGCAAATATTGCCCTGGCAACATTTATATTTATATTTTAGGTGAGTATGTGGAGCAGTATTCTGGTGCATTGTCTCACGATCCAAAGGTCCTGGGTTCATATCCATCACCTGGCTGCAGCCTTTCTGTGAGGAATTATGTTAATTGGTGATTTAAAATTTCCCATAGGTGTGAATGGTTGTGTGTTTCTATGTCTTAGCCCTATGACAGACTGGTGACCTGTTCAGAGTCTACCCAGTGTCTCAGCCCACGGCAGCTGGGATAGGCTCCAGCTCCTTCCCACAGCCCTGACTTAAATAAGCAGAAGAAAATGGATAGACAGAAGGGTAATAAGTGTTTCCAGCTTTCTGGAATATGTTTCAGTGAAGCCATTGCTGATTTCAATCTGAAAATGTTTTAATGCACAAAAGCCAAGTGTGTAAAAGAAATTTCACACTACTTTTTTTTGTTGTTCTAAATTGTTGTATTACCGGTAATTTGTGTTTCACACCTCGCAGCTACCATATGGATTTACCCAGATTCTGGAATGACCCAAAGCACTTAGAACCCCCCCTTAAAGCTGCAACCACTTATACGAGAGTTCCAGCAGGCCTCAGGTCAGTTTCAAGGTTGGCTTGTTCTGTTTTTACAGTTTGTTCACATCTTATTTGCTCCTTTATATTACTGCATACACTTCTTCAAGGGTACAGATAAGAGACGCAAATGCACTCACCCAAATACACGCGCACAATGACAAGCTATCACAGTACCTATTTACCAAGTGATAGCCACGTCCCGCCAGACAGAGTTGGTCAGCGAGACACAGAGAATTTAGTTCTGTACTTCGTGCAGGGGCGTAATTTCCAGGGGGAGTTAGGGGGGTTATGACCCCCCAATAAAATTATGAATTATCTTGCATAAATAGGCTGTTGATTTTCTTTACTCATTTCAGTTATTACCAGCAGAATAGTTGCATGTTTAATCATCTGTGAATTTACCCAGATTTTTTTATTTATTTAGACAGAGATCTTGACCCCCCAATGTTCAGCAATGTTCAGCAATGTTACGCCCATGACTTCGTGACAGTAATTACACGCTTCATAAGAAAAATTTAGCGAGTACAGTTTTCTAAACCCCATTACTTGCATTACATAAATTCTACTCATGCCAGCCACCTGCTGTGCGGTCAATGTGTTCGCATCATCACACCACTGACAGCTTCTTCAGGGTGGTGCTGGTAGGTCCGCACAGCCAGTTACCACTGGGCAGCCTGATGCTTTCCAAATTTCTTTTGGAAGGCCAGCAGCGCTTTTAATTACAGGTAGTGCGCTTTAATCATCAGATTATAGAGCATGTGTATTTGCATCAAACAATGGGTCTTTGTGGCAGGACTGTCATTAAAAAGAAACCTTCCACACATGGTGTAAACATAACTGCACGTGACAGGACCTTGTTTGCGAGCATGTATGACTGTTTTTTTTTTTTATTATTACCACCAGACTTCAGGTTGTGACCACAATAACAAATTCAGGTGTGGGTGGAAATGTTGAGTCAAAGGAATGAGAGAAATGAGCCAATAATTCAAAAGCAAAGGTGTAATCACAGAGCAGAAGACGGTGCACACATTTAGTTGGGAAGGGGAAGATTTACTGGTGACAGACTCACTGTGGTTAAGTCTCAAGTTTGACCACTGAACCTGAAATGGGACTTACATGCTTCTTTTAGATAGGAAAATCAAAATAACTTCTTCGCAGTTCAGAATCATGATTTATTTTATACTGGGCCTTGTAGCAGTCCCTTAATTCATCCTCTGTCAAGTAAAAAGTTGCAGCTCCCTCCTAGCTATTTTTTTTTAGCCAGCTTTCTTCTGATTGGCCACCCTTTGCAAACACAGGGTTTGATCAGCAGGTGGGGGTTCTTGCTCACCGCCAGAGCTGTATTTCTGCTGGTGGGAAGTAGAGTGCTGCAAGAATTAAATTTTACGATGAGGATTCAGAAAGGTATAGCATCCCCATTGTTCCATTAATAAAAAAATAAAAAAAAAAGGGGGGGGGGATTAGGATCATTGCAGTAAATAAGCAAACGCAATGGTGGGATGTAAAAGGGCTAACCATGGGTTGTAAATTAACTACAAAGCTTCGACAGAAGCTTGTTATTGTATGCACACTGTTGTAAACTGTGGAAATGATTTATGATATCCGGGTTCCTGTGAAATACACTGGCATTGAGTTCCATGACTCACAAACGCTGCAAACAAACGCACGTGTTCGACTCTTTCACACATGTTGACATAAGCGCTGAAAAGACATTAAATCCATAAATCATTTATGTTTCCATGCTGCCAAATCGGGTGTGCTCCGTGGCTTTCAGAGTCTGAACTTGAGCGATTTTGAGCGGAGAACGACCGGGTGGGGTCGTATCGGTGGAGCAGCCTATAAATAGCCTGGCTGTATGGAGCTGCATAAAGCTGCACGTGCGCCGGGATCGTCGGGATGTCTCCGTCAGGGCGTCCCAACACGGTCCGGCTTGTATTCCTGGGAGCAGCGGGGGTTGGCAAGACCGCGCTCATCCACCGATTCCTCCACGACGGATTCGAGCACAAGTACACGCGCACTGTCGAGGAGCTTCACGTGCTCGAGTATGACACCGCGGGCTCTGAGGAGAAGATGCGGCTGGAGATACTGGACACGAGCGGCAGCTACTCGTTCCCGGCTATGAGGGAGCTCTGCATCCGACACAGCGACGCCTTCGCCCTGGTGTACGCGGCAGACGAGCCCGACTCCTTCGAGGAGGTGCGTCGACTGCGCGCCGAGATTCTGGAGCTGCGCGGCGGCGGCAGGAGCGTGCCCATCACCGTGGTCCGCAGCAAAGCGGATCTGACCGAGAGCGAAGGTCGAGCGCCGGTTGCCTGTGACGCCATGGCCACGGTGGAGACTGAGTGGGGCGCAGACTTCGTGGAGGCGTCCGCGAGCACGGGCAGAAACGCGGTCGGGGTGTTCAGCTCGCTGCTGCAACAGGTGAACCTGCCGCCACGACTGAGCCCCGCGGCGTGGACACGCAGAGACACCGTGCCTAGGCCCCGAGCTAGGAAGAGACCCTCGCCGAAGAAGCACAACAGCTGTGTTCTGTCGTAGAAACCGCTGCAGCTGGACTGCGCCTGCTCAGTTTCGAGCCCGTTCTCACTCTAAAATGTTACGCTTTGGAGCGTGTTGCAGTTTAACACCTGTTCACGGGTGACGGCTCCTCGGGTCACTTTAATGTGTCTGAAAGCCAGCGGGGCCTGTAATGCTCATAGTTTAAGGGGAGCAAACGGGATGATGCACTTTATTTGAGTCCTGTTTTGTGTGTACATTTTTATATGGTGTCAGTAAAATAACTTTGTTGTAAAATGTGTCCGGTGCTTCATTTGTAAACCTTCCACTGGTCTTGGCACATCTCAAACGAGTCTGTCTATGCGTGGATCATAGAGTTAAACACCAATGTGAACAAGTGTCTGATGGGCCCTAGAGCTTTTTTCTTTCTTCAATAATCAGAAATCTCATAATGTGATGGTTAAAGTAACCATCAAAGCACACACACCTGTTCTTTTTCTCCTCTCATTCCTTTTGTCTGTTTGGTGGTCTCCTCTTTTTCCTCCTTTCAGCACCTCTCTTGCCAGTAGACTGCTACAGTCCCGCTCCCGGATGAGTGTTGAAACAATAGAGTACACTGAAAAAAAGGGATTGGCCAGCTCCTGGATTTACATAAGCATCTTGCGTGTATTTAACACAAGTGCCTCATGCTTTAAAGTTAACTTTAACTGCATAGTGTAGAAACTACATGATATGCAGAGAGGCTAGATTAAATTGTTCATATCATGTTCAAGTGAAGTAAGTCAATAATATATCAATGTTAAATCCCGTGACACTGCACGGGTTTCAGACTCGCGCTCTTTAGATCGTGGTTTCAGGAAGGCATCCATCTCAGTCAAGTCGAGCAGCCACCTCTACTGTTTTTTAGTATACCAAAAAAAAGTAAATTGGGTGGTTGTTACATTAAAAAAGTCTAACTTGTAATTTAAACACAATAATTTCATGTTTCTATATGAACGTAATTAAATCATGAAGAATCTGTACGAAATTCAACAACTTAATTTGTTCTTGTTGACATTACATGATACAATCTAGTAAGAGCGGTTAGTTGCTGAACTCATGGAATTCACAAGATCGCACAAGATTTCAAACTGCAGGAAAATCACTGGAGTTATAAGAGGCAGACAACTACACACACACCACGTGCATGCTATTGCTATTTATTGTGGATTATTACAAAAACAAAAAAATTCTGCATCAAATACAGGAAATCATAGCTTTCCTACATTTGCTGGGTTGTTGGCATGGTGGTTAGTGCTGTTGCTTCACAGTAAGAAGGTCCTGTGTTCAAACCCACATTCTGGCTAGTTTGCAGGTTTCTCTCTGGGTATTCTGGTTTCCTCCCGCAGTTAAAAGTCATGCAGTTGTTAGAGTTAGGGTTAACTGGTGATTCTAAATTACCTGTCAATGTAAGTGTAAATGGTTGTTTGTTTCTATGTGATAGACTAGTCAGCTGTCCAGGGTGTACCCTGCCTTGTAACCTATCACTTCAGGGTTATTTCCCAACCCCCCTGCAACCAGGATAAAGATAGAAGGATGGTAGTTGTTGAAGACCTATTCAATTTTTATGGTAACCAGGATCTAGACCTTGTAAAAAGTAAAGTGTGCGTGTTAGTCCCCATAGGGGAATAGTTCCTCTGCATTTAACCCATTCACCCAGTGAAGCAGTGGGCAGCCACCAGTGCAGCGCCCGGGGAGCAGTGTGTAGGGATGGTACCTTGCTCAGTGGAGTCGAACCCCCGACCTTCCGATCATGGGGCCACCACTCTACTGAGCTATCCCTGCCCGTTGTTGAACATTATGTAATATGAAGACAGCATGTAGTATTTAAGTGACCAATAGTATTGGGATAAAAGTTATTGAATAGTGTTGAAATAAAATGACAAAACTGTGAAGGATTAAAATATTCCAAGAGCTCAACTTACTTCATCTGAACATGTTTCAATCGCGTTTTATGAACACAAAATGCCGATGTTTATTGATTATGAAAAAGTTGATTTAACTCAGTTGTTTAAGTTTCTGCCAAAGCAAAACATTTGTGTGCAACCAATGTCCACTATTGAATCAAGTAAATCCAACATGGCCTTTTTTTTTCAGTGATAGAGCCCAGAGAGCTTTTATGAGAAAAAGCACTTTTGTGAGGTCCCCACTTAGAACATTTATAAACTTCTTTTTTGTCAATAAATAAGTGAATGAATAAATTAATGGATAAATGATCTTGTGAAGGCAGCCTGGCTCTTTCTGGAAACTTTCTAAAAAAAAAATCGTGTCTGCCACAAAAGCATTAATATGAATGAGGAGCAGAGGCTCATGCAGCACACAAGGGCTAAAGAACAGAGGCTCCTGACAAGGATGAATCTGCATCATTACACATCAAAAATGTCACACTGTTGGATTAAAAGCTTTTGTTTATCTTTTACCAAGAAGAGTGAACAACATGAAAATTAAAGTTTGAATTACTTTATTTGTCAGCTGCACGTGGCAAGAATAAAAGAACACCTGTGCTCTTGGACAGGCTTCTCAGTCATTTAGATAAGGAACAGATCAATAAAAAAGAAAACCAATATACACATCTTATGAAACAAGATGATAAAAATACAGAATAAATAAAAGCACAATGATTCAAAATACATATAAACAGATGGGTGACAATGATGTGATTAAGAGAAATCTCTGAAACATGCCATGTGTGTTTGTCTTGGATGAAGATGAATCCCATTATTTTCATTCTTGAGAAACAACTGAGTGCACTATGGACGGAGGCTGTGATGCTAGAAGAGACTATTTCCATCACAACAGAAATGTTTCATCAGGCCTGAGATGAACACTCATGACAGCTTAGCATAGATTTACAGTAACCACACACACACACACACACACACACACACACACACACACACACACACACACACACACACACAGCATAAATGATCCACCAGTGCACCTCAGGGGTGGAGGGTTCAGAGAATATTACAGCACTATATATAAAGTGTATCAGCTTTCGTAGCAATTAAGGTTTTTGTAAAGCCAACATACAGTTTTTCTTATTTTTATTTATTGAGTGTGATAATAATTGTCATTTACCAGAACTAACATTAGTGGCAATTGTAGAAGCAGCAGGCTAGAAGTAAAAGGCATTAAAGGCAATGACGCAGAGCAAGGCTGTAGCCATGGAGTCAAGACTGGGGTGAAGCAAAGGCCTGGGTGGTTGGTTTATCATGACTTTCAAGGTGGACCATGTTTGCCACAAATTTTGTTTCCACTCCACGCAATTCTTAATCATTCTTCTTTCCATAGTTACACTTCCAGTGAAAAATTATTTACATAACCTTTTTCATGAATGCTCCGCCTGAAGTTAAGTCTAGTTGGTGTTGCAATGACAATCCCATCAATTATTGTGTGGAACTATAATATATCCTGAATGTACACAAAAGTTTTTAATGAAACTAATGAAACACAGACATTGCACTGACTAACACTCGATCATACTTGATCCAGAAAAGGTTTTAATGGAAATATGGTGACACTTTTTGAACAGTCCATTCAAAGAAATTCAGTCCTTTGGTTCACTGTATAACTACAGCCTTCAACAACAGCAATTTGTTATGGTAGTGATATCAACATATGTTAATATTGGGACCCTATGAAGTTATAGCTTTATATTGCATTCGGGAAGTTATAGGAGTGACAGTGCCCCCTACTGGCTAAAAACAGTAATAACAATAGGTTGTGTGTTTTACATGAATGTACAGTCTACATGTTGTAGCTGGTTATGCTTTAGAGTTAATTAAACTGGACAACCTCACGACTGATAATTACGAAAAGTAGTATTACACGAGTAATAACGAAACAATACTTATCGAAAACTAGTGAGGTCAGCGTATAAATAAGCAAAGGTTATTGCAGTGAGTAGTCTCATATAAATTAGCCTATAGACTGCTGCCTCGACTAAACTAAATCGGTTACAACAATCCACGATGACGACTATTTATTCCGGGCTTTTAGTTAAAAAAAGAAGAAGAAAAAGAAAAAAAATCAAATGACCATTAAATCCACGTTATCTACTTGGGTAAAAAAAAAAAAAGAAGAAAGGGGAAAAAACGGATGTATGTCACGATTAAAGCCCACCCCGACTACATTTCCCATCAGTACTCGCTTAGAGAAAACAAGGAGAAACCAACAACAGGGATTCAGCCAATAACACTGCGGAATGTGACATACTCGTTTAGTGATTGGCTATGTTTGCCTGAATCTCCCACGATGCTTTGCTGCAATACCTTAGAATTCAAATCGAGCGGACCAATCAGAGAGCACCGTAACGACCGAGGCAGCATTTTAAACTTGTAGCAGAAACTGTTGTCAAAAGGCAGGACGGGTTAACGCTGCAGCCATCGACGGACAACTCTGGCGATTACTTTATTCAATATTTTCGTTTTTAAAAAATAATTATAGTCTAGTTGCACCGTGTTTTAATTGTCAATGAAATGTTTAAGTAACAACCGCGTCTAAAGCGTATTATAGCTAGTTTTGATTTAAATTCAGAAGTGCAGGGAGCACGCTAGCTTCCAAGGCCAAACTAACGTCGGTTAAGGTAGGGTTAACAATACTCTCTTCCTTGGGGTTTATCATTAATAACTCTATTGCAAAGGGGCTTTAAAACGTTTCTTTTTACTCCCGGCTAAGAGCACTTTAATCCAAAATGAGCGCTGGTGTTGCAAAGCCGGCGAACCCGATGCCGCACGTCGACCCAAAATCGGCCACTCTAAAAGAAATCCCAGATGTTCTGGTCGACCCACGCACCATGAGACGATACACTAGGGGGAGATTCCTCGGAAAAGGTGGTTTTGCAAAATGCTACGAAATCACAGACGTGGAGACAAAGCAGGTTTTCGCCGGAAAGATCGTGCCCAAATCGCTGATCCTGAAGCAGCACCAGAGGGAGAAGATGACTTCGGAAATCTCCATTCACCAAAGCCTCAACCACCCCAACGTCGTGGGCTTCCACGGGTTCTTCGAGGACGATGATTTTGTGTTTGTCGTCCTGGAAATCTGCAGGAGAAGGGTGAGTGCAGAGAAAGTGTCCTTTCTGTTAACTGCGGACGGCCAACGGTTACCCTGGCGGTCTCTTCCCGTCACAGTGCAGGAAGCTTGGCCTGTTTAAAACCACAGGAGCTCTGAACATAATTCAAATGAGCCACTATTCCTAAACTCAGTATTTTG